CCCCTTGTCTACTGACCAAGTCACTTTATCATAGAAGGCCACTAGGTTAGTCAGGCAGGACCTGCCCCTAGTAAAGCCATGTTGGGTGTCCTGGATTACCTCCCTGTCCTTCATGTGCCCAAGCATGGCATCTAGGAGGATTTGTTCCATGATCTTCCCAGGCACAGAGGTGAGACTGACAGGTCGGTAGTTCCCAGGGTCCTCCTTTCTACCCTTTTTAAAAATGGGTGTGATGTTCCCCTTCTTCCAGTCTGCAGGGACTTCACCTGACTGCCATGATTTTTCAAATATCATGGAAAGTGGTTTGGCAACTACATCAGCTAGTTCCTTCAGGACTCTGGGATGTATCTCATCAGGTCCCATGGACTTGTATATCTTCAGGCTCCTGAGTTGATCTCGTACCTTGTCTTCACGTACAGTGGGAGGGACCTTGTCGCCCTGGTCTCCAACTTTTTTGTCATCAACACAAGAACTAGGAGGAAGGGGGTTACCAGTGAAGACCGAGGCAAAGAAGTCGTTGAGAACTTCTGCTAGTGGATGAGAAGCTGTCCCCACTCATCACTTATTGTTTTTTTTTTTCCCTCTGTAAACCAATTAGATGTAGCACTGAGTGAGTCACCATGAGGTCCTCTTGGCTTGGTGTCTTCTTCTGAGTGCTCTGGGTTCGACCCCTTGCCCTCTTGCCTGTCCTATCCACCTCTGGATCCCCTGTGTCCAGCGAAACCACGAGGGGAGATTACTGGGGGGGTGGGCAACTTCGGGGACAGCAGAACAGGGGTGGACCATCTCCCCTCACCAGAATCCCTGGGGACCAGTTGTGGGACTTGACCAGGATGGAGGGAGCCATTCACAGGGTTTGGGGGTGCTTTCCCACATTCCAAAAAGGAGGAGTTTGGGACCTGCCCACTCCTGTGGTTGCAGGTGTGTGATGAGAAGATGCTCTCTCTGATCACTCGTTTCTTCTGGTTTTCCTTTGCAGGTATACAAGATGTAACACTGTGTGAGTCTCCGTGAGCTCCTCCTGGCTCAGTGTCTTCTCCCTGGTGCTCTGTGCTTGACGCTTCCCCACCTTTCCCATCCTCTCCATCCCTGCATCCCCTGGGTCTGAACAAATCCAGAGGGGATGTACCTGGGGGCATGGACAGCTTGGGGACAGTAAAGCAAGGCTTGATCCTTTCCCCTCACCAGAGTCTCTGGGGACAGTTTATGGGACTTAACCAGGCTGGAGGGAGCCATGTGCAGGGTTTGGGGGTGTTTTCCCACTCGGAACAAAGAGGAGTTTGGGATCTACCCACTCCTGTGGTTGCAGGTGTGTGATGAGAAAGTGTTCTCTCTGATCACTCATTGCTTCTGGTTTTCCTTTGCAGGTATGCAAGATTTATCACTGGGTGAGTCTCGGTGATCTCCTCCTGGCTCAGTGTCTTCTCCCTGGTGCTCTGTGCTTGACACTTCCCCACCTTGCCCGTCCTCTCCATCCCGGCATCCCCTGGGTCTGGAGAAATTCCAAGGGGATGTGCCTGGAGGCATGGACAGCTCGGGGACAGCAGAGCAGGGCTTGATCCTTTCCCCTCACCGGAGTCTCTGGGGAGAGTTTATGGGAATTAACCACGCTGGAGGGAGCCATGCGCAGGGTTTGGGGGTGTTTTCCCACTCGGAACAAAGAGGAGTTTGGGATCTACCCACTCCTGTGGTTGCAGGTGTGTGATGAGAAGATGTTCTCTCTGATCACTCATTGCTTCTGGTTTTCCTTTCCAGGGGATCGAGAAGAAGAACTGGGTGAGTCTCGGTGATCTCCTCCTGGCTCAGTGTCCTCTCCCGGGCGCTATGTGCTCAACCCTTCCCCACCTTAGCCATGGTGGGCATCCTGTATTCCCTGGGTTTGATTATACCCCAAGGGGATGTTCCTGGTGGGGTGGGCAGCTGGGGGACATGAGATCAGGAAAGGACCCTCTCCCCTGCCCAGATCCGATGGCCACCAGCCATGAGACATTGCCAGGCTGGAGGGAGCCATTCACAGGTTTGGGGCTCTGTTCCCACTCCCCAAACAGAATGAGTTCGGGCTCTGCCCAAGCTCTGCCCACTGCTGCAGGAGCTTCCATGGGGTGAGAATCTGTCCCTTCTTGTCACTCATTGCTTCTCTTTCTCCTTTCTAGAGCAACGACCTGCAGCACCGGGTAAGTCTCTGTGAGCTTCCCCTGCCTTGGTGTTCTATCATGGGTGCTCTGTGGCCAACACTTTCCGCCCTTGCCCATCTTCTCCCTCCATACATTCCCTGGGTCCAGGCAAACCCTGAGGGGTAGTGCCTGGGGCGGTGGGCAGACTGGGGACACTAGCCCAGGAATGGACCACCTCCCCTCAGATTTGCTGGGGAACAACCATGGGATGTGACCTGATCTTCTCTTTCCGTAGAGCGGAGAAATTTTCTGCATCCTCAGAATTGAGGGAAGAGGGTATTTAATGTTATTTGATGTTTTTTTATGGGGAGTTCTCCTCCTTTTCCCTGTTTGGGAGGTGTACCTGGGCTGGCCAGTGAAGAGAGTTTTAAACTAAAAGAGGAGAGATTTAGATGAGAAGAAAGTCTTTGCTGTGAGGGCATGAGACTCTGGCCCAGGTTTGCCAGAGAAGCTGTGGCTGCCCCATCCCTGGAAGGGTTCAAGGCCAGGTTGGAGGGGGCTGGAGTAACCTGGTCTGCTGGGAGGTGTTTGTGCCCATGGCAGGGTGTGGCACTGGATGGTCTTTAAGGTCCCTTCCAAGCCAAACCGTGATTCTATGACTGAGCTCTGACCCTGATGCTCTGGCTTCTCCTGTCCCCTGCAGGCATGGGGAACCTGGGTCCAAACATGTCTGATCCTGAACCTCGGATGAAGTCTATGAAACATGCAAGAAGGGAAAGGATACAGAAGAACCTGCCTTACCACAAGAAATTTAGTTCTAATTACTGATTGCTGGGCTGGGAGGGGTGCTGGAATGGGAGGCACTGCTGGAAGGTGGAGGGGGAGGTGGGAGGTGATTCGCGGTGGGCTGTTGGGTTGGCCACAGAGTTTCTGGAGCGGAAGGGGTCTCTGAACCCAAAGCCTGAGGAGAGATCTGTGCTGTTAGGCACAGGAAAGGCCAGTTCATGGCTCCCACCTCTACTCCCATCCCCCTGTCCCAGTCCGTGCTCCCCAGGAAGATCTGGGTCTTACTGGAGTGGGCTTGGGGGCTGGTGACTTTTCCTCAATACCGACACTGGGATCGAGATCTTCACTTTCCCACCAGCCTCGTTCCACAGGGAGACCCTGCACCCCTGGTTTTGAGTGGAGACAAGGAAAACCCAGCTGTGCCTCAGCGACAGCACCTCCTACATGTTCTCCTCCCCTTCCACCGTCTCAGTAGCCTCCAGCAACCCCTGGCCTTCTCCAGAGGCTCCTCGCTGTCCTCTCCTGGATCCTGCAGGAGATGTGGCTCTCTTTGCCCCAGCTGGGGGAGCAGATGGGGAGTGAGGGGCGGGCACATGGACTGATGTGGGGTCTCTGAGCAGCCCGGAATGTCCTCATTTCAGCTTGGATGGAGTTATTTTTCTTTCTAGTAACTGCTGATGTTTGGATTTAGTGTGAGAATGCCATTGGTCACAAATATATTTATACGTGGCTGAGAAATGTTCACTTCAGTCCAGAACTTTTCCAGCTTTCCCTCGCAGCTGAGAGGGAGCACGGCCAGGATGAGGCATCCAAAGGGATATTCCACCTCACAGACATCCTGCTCGGGACAGAGACAGAGGCTGCCGGGGGCCTGGGACCCTCCCGCTGTGCTGGGGATGGGCTGGGGAATCAGTCCTCAGGTGCTGAGGGCAAATGCTCTTGTATCCCTTTATTTTGTATATTTTGTTACAATTAAGAAAGATATTTTCCTCTGCCGTAACCGTTGTCTTAAACTGTCTTTATTCCAACCCACGAGGTGTTTTCCCCAGCTTTTATCCCTCTTCTCCCCACCCCACTGGGGAATAGGGAGGGAGGGAGGGAGCTTCTGGCTGGGGCTAAGCCACACCGGGCAGCCAGGAAACTCTTGGATCCCCTTTGATCCTCTTGGAACACCTTGAATCTCCCTTGAACCCCTTGGGTGCCCCTCAGAACCCCCTGAATCCCCTCAGATCCCCTAGAACCTCTTGGATCCCCTCGGTACCACTCCGAACATCCCTTGGAACTCCTTGAGCCCCTTAGATCCCCTCTTATTCCCTTGCAACTCCTTCAACACCCCAGAAACCCCTCTTGTACACCCCTAGAGCCCCCTGGAACCTCTTGAAACCCCTTGGATCCCCTGGGCTCTGCCCAGCATGTACCTGCAGGAGATGTGCCTCTCTTTGCCCCAGCCGTAGGAGAAGATGGGGAGTGAGGGGCAGGCACATGGGCTGCTGTGGGGTCTCTGAGCAGCCGGGGGTGTCCTCATTTCAGCTTGGATGGAGTTAATTTTCTTTCTAGTAACGGCTGATGTTTGGATTTAGTGTGAGAATGCCATTGGTCACACATATTTTTATACGTGGCTGAGAAATGTTTACTTCAGCCCAGGGCTTTTCCAGCTTCCCCTCGCAGCTGAGAGGGAGCACGGCCAGGATGAGGCATCCAAAGGGATATTCCACCTCACAGACATCCTGCTGGGGATAGAGACAGAGGCTGGGAGGGTGGGACCCTCCCTCTCTGCTGTGGATGGGCTGGGGAATCAGTCCTCAGGTGCTGAGGGCAAATGCTCTTTACTTCAGCCCAGGGCTTTTCCAGCTTCCCCTCGCAGCTGAGAGGGAGCACGGCCAGGATGAGGCATCCAAAGGGATATTCCACCTCACAGACATCCTGCTCGGGACAGAGACAGAGGCTGCCGGGGGCCTGGGACCCTCCCGCTGTGCTGGGGATGGGCTGGGGAATCAGTCCTCAGGTGCTGAGGGCAAATGCTCTTGTATCCCTTTATTTTGTATATTTTGTTACAATTAAGAAAGATATTTTCCTCTGCCGTAACCGTTGTCTTAAACTGTCTTTATTCCAACCCACGAGGTGTTTTCCCCAGCTTTTATCCCTCTTCTCCCCACCCCACTGGGGAATAGGGAGGGAGGGAGGGAGCTTCTGGCTGGGGCTAAGCCACACCGGGCAGCCAGGAAACTCTTGGATCCCCTTTGATACTCTTGGAACACCTTGAATCTCCCTTGAACCCCTTGGGTGCCCCTCAGAACCCCCTGAATCCCCTCAGATCCCCTAGAAACTCTTGGATCCCCTCGGTACCACTCCGAACATCCCTTGGAACTCCTTGAACCCCTTAGATCCCCTCTTATTCCCTTGCAACTCCTTCAACACCCCAGAAACCCCTCTTGGACACCCCTAGAGCCCCCTGGAACCTCTTGGAACCCCTTGGATCCCCTGGGCTCTGCCCGGCATGTACTCACCGTGAGCATCCTCCTGCACCACATGACCCTTTTCTGAAGAAAACTGCTTTGTCTCTACCCAATTCCCTTCCCAGTTGGGTGCTGGGTGAAGGTGGCTGCATTGTTTTTGCTTCTTTGGGAGATAGTGGGGTCTGTGCATGGAAGCATCTTTGTTCTGGAGTGCCTTCAGGTGCAGCGGAAGAGGAAACTTACGGAGGTGGAAGGAATTTCCCATCCTGGGGCTATTTTAGATGGATTTATTACAATGGTGAATCGCTGCTGCTGCTCCGGAGCTGGGAGCTGAACTGGGGCGGAGCACCAGGGGGTGGGATCTGCTGGGAATGGGATGTTGGGGATACTCAGGGCAGGGAACAGGACCTCCCTGCTCTTCTGACCTTGTTGGGGATTTGTGGGTGCCCCCTGTGCTTCTTCAGCCTCCCTGCTCCTCCTGGACCCCCCTGGGGTTGGATACGGGCTCCTGGACCCCCTTTGGGTTTGAGACGGGCTCATCCCTTGTCCACATCCCCAGGTGTGGGTACAGTCCCCAGGACCCCCAGACCTGGGTATTCCCCCTGTCTTAGAAACTCCATACCCACCACTGCGCCCCTTCTTTTGGGTATGGATGTGGATGCAAAGTTGGGGACAGCAGGGGACATGTCCTCCTCAGCAATCTGAAGCCCCCAAGTTGGCAGGGCAGAGGGACAGGGCACAGCTGGGGTGTTCTGACACTCAAAGCGCCCCCAAACCATCTTGTCCCCTTGTCCCTGGCTCCCCGCAAGCTCCCGGCTGTTGTGGGGCTGCAGAGACACTGCTGGGCTCCTCCGCCATGTCCAAAAATCACAACCAAGCTCTAAATTAACCTTAACCTTCTCGCAGCCAAATGCACATATTTTTCCTTCCTCCTCTTTTAACCTTTTTTGGTGCTCCTTTATGTTATGAAGTGCTGGGGGTAGAGTTTGAAAACCCAGCCCCAAAAACCGCTAGCACTGCGACCGGAAACTGAGCAGAAGTACAAGACCTTGGGTGCATCGTGTCGGTTACTTCCTCCTGCAGCTTGTACTGGTCTGGTGAGTGAATTTCCTTTCTGTGATGAATTTAGAATATATAATTTAACTTAAAATCTTGTAAGGGATTTCAAGTAACCCCTGGGGAGGGCAGTGGGGCAGAGAAGGGTCTGCACTGGGAGCCCTGCATGGATCCTGTCCTGCCTTCGACCAAGGGTTCCTTCTGACGTCAGGGTGCAGGTGGTTTGGTGGGATTTCTGGAGTGGTGTTGGGGGCAGGTGCAGCCCTTCTTCCCCATCCCCTCTGTGGCGGCTGTAACCCCCCCTTGCCCTCCCTCTGCCTCCCTTCCCACCCTCTTCTCCAGCTCCGGACGCAGATGGGGTTCCCCACGAGCCCATGGGGCCTCCTCAGTCATTTCCTGACTCTCCACCTCCTCCGGCTGGGATCAGGTAGGGATCCTGCAGGGCTGGGGGGGCTGAGCGTGCTCTGGGTGGCAGATGTGGGTCAGGGGAGGTGCTGTGGGTCAGGAGCAGCTGAGCCCAGAGCTCGGCTGCTTTTACTTTCCCTTGGTCTTGTGATGCCACATGTCCATTTTCCTGGGACATCTTCAGTCCCACCCTGCGGTCCTCCCGCAAAGCCTTTGTCCTTTCTACCGGGGCTGGCTGGGCTGGGGTAGGCGTCATTTCAGGGCTGGGGGGTCATGGAGCAGGTTGCCACCCCCAGGATACCTCATTCTCCTTTGAGTCCTCCTGCTCCCTCTCCAGTTTCTCCAGTGTCTTTGGGCCATGGGGAGGGCAAAGCAACACCCACGGGATTCAGCAGGTACTGCTCATACCAGCTGGCCCCTTGTCATGTGATGCCCCTAAATTAACATGGGTGTAATCTCTGTCTCCCTGTGTCCTTCTCCATCACCAAGTGGAGTTCAGAGTGGTGGGACCAGGCCGACCTCTCCTTGTCACTTTGGGGCAGGACGTTGTGCTGCCGTGTCACTTGTCCCCAGAGGTGGACGCTCGGAGCTTGGAGATCAGGTGGATCCGGCACCAGGTCTCTGAAACAGTGCACCTCTACCGAAATGGAGAGGACCAGTATGGTGAGCAGATGAAGGAATACGCTGGAAGGACAGAGTTGGTCAGAGATGGTCTCTCCAATGGGAGCCTGGACTTGCGGATCTCTGGGTTGAGACCCTCTGATGATGGCCAGTACATCTGCACTGTGCGAGATGCTGCCTCTTATGGAGAAGCTGTGGTGGAGCTGGAGGTGGCAGGTTTGTGGCCTCTGTAGTGTTTCGTGGGGATGGTGCAGGTGTCCCTGGGTTGGTGTGTCCCTCTCATAGCTCTGTCCCATCCTCACGTCCATCCATTCAGTGCGGAAGGCCATGAGCCACTGAAAGAGGTGGGGTGCGAGGGTTCTCTTCCCATCCGTGCCTGCCCAGGAGGGAGCACGCAAGTGATGTTGGAGGTGTTCTTGGGGGCAGAGCAGTATGGATGTGGTGGCCTTGAGTCTCTGTGGTGTCCTGGTGATGCTGTGTTGGTTCTGTGATGCTGCCTTGAGGTGCCAAAGCTCGGCTGCTCAGTGTTGCTCTGCCAGGTTGTTGTATGGGAGATCTGGGGTCATCAGTGCTCTCTGGTTCCTGCAGATGTTGGGGTGGGTTTGTTGGTGTGGACTAGATGATCTCTAGAGGTCCCTTCCAAGTCTGACAATTCCGTGATTCTGTGTGAGGAGCACGTGGCTCTCTGGTTCCTGCAGATGTTGGGGTGGGTTTGGTGGTATGAGGAGCACATGGCCAGCCCCACAGCCCCCTGGGCACCCTGGGATGTGTCTGGAGCGCGGTTGGGTCTTGGCCTTTGAGCTGGGTCCATCCCTAACTTTGGGCAACCCTGGGCTCTTCCCCCAGCCATGGGCTCTGTCCCTCTTCTCTCTCAGGAGGCTTACGATGAAATAAGCATCCGGGTGGTGTGTCGATCGGCCGGCTGGTACCCGCCACCACAGGTGCTGTGGAAGGATGGTGACGGGCAGCATCTCCCTTCGGTCTCCCAGAGACATTCCCCAGATGAGAGGGGCCTCTTTGAGATCGAAGACGTCATCATTGTGAGGTGGAAGGCAGGCATGAAAGTGTGGTGCGTGATGAGGAACAGCCTCCTGGAGCAGGAGCAGGCGTCGTCCCTGTACATCTCAGGTGCAGGATGGCAGCAGGGCTGGGGTTTGCCACGCTGCTTGGGGGGTGTTTGATGTCAGGGGGCTGGAGAAATATGTGGGGAGAGTGGGAAGGGGCGGGGGGTGCACCCAGAAGTGAGTTTTATTGCAGGAGACATGATCCTGGTGTGTTTCAGGGGATCATTGGGGTGTCCACGGGCTGGGGAGGATGATGTCCTGTTGAGCCTAGGTCTCCCAGCACAAGGCTTGAGGAACTGGAAATTTGAAGTAGTTTTAGGTTTTTTCTTCTCCTCACTCAGGGGAGTGTAAAATGAGGCCTTCTCCTGGTGTTTTCTTATTTCTCAGTTCCCATTATCTACAAGGATGATTTCTGGATTGGATTTGTGGTTGCATTCGCCCTGCTTTTTCTGATGATTTATGTTGTCATGGATTGTCTCTGGCGAAGGAAAGGTGAGTTTGTAGCAGGGGGGATGGAGTGGAGGGCATCGGGGTGGCGCGAGGCTGATACCTGGCCCATGGACGTACACGGAATGGGATCAGAGTTGTGTCAGAACAGGTTTTGCCTTCCTTAAAAGAAGCTCTTTGGGCAATGGAAGGATGGGAAGAAGGAAATGGGTTGTGGGTGGGAGGACATGGAGCATGGCCTGAGCATCTGGCTGGTGGGAAGGTCCAAGAGACCCTGGTGAGATGCTTCCTCATCAGTGACAAAGCAGCCGCTCTCCTGACCTCCTCTTCCTCTGCCTTTGCTTTCCAGGGCTGCAGTCCAGAGCGCTGGGTGAGTCCTGGCCCCTGCCACCAGCAAAGCCTCCTGAGAAAGGAGCCTCCAGGGAGGGACATAGCTTTGGATGGCTCTTGCTGGTTCTCTGGTCATTGATGTGGGCTGATGGAGCACAGAAGGGACTGGAGAGCACTGGGTTTGGCATCTGGGCACGGGATCAGGCTGAGTCTTAAATCTCTGCTTAAGTCAGGCATAACTGCAGAGTGCCTGGATGGACTGGGGGGGGGAATGGGG